ATCCTGAAAGAGATTACAAACCAATGATTCCAGCTCTAACCAACTTGGGAAAACCTATTGTAAAATTTTCAGTGTAAGCATTTACAGAAATCTGTGATTTTGCAAATTAGGGCTTGATTTTTTGTTTTGATTGCCTACATTTAAGAAACTGTTAAATATGAGGGATAAATTTAAAAGTATGTGTGCATATTTCTTTTTTCCTGCAGTCTGGTTGTTAAATATTTACTACTACACCCCCATATTGATTTATAATCATTGCTTGAGTTCTGGACTGCAGTAGAAGACTTACAGACTGATCATCACCAGACTGGCCCCAAAAGGCCCAATGGGAGTGGAAAGTTCACCTCTCATGTGCCAGGGGAGTGAAGAGATAAATGGCTATGAATTCACTAGTAACCAACCCGGAGCAAAAAAGAGAGACCTGTTTGAATTGTCTCAGAACAAGGCATTCCTACAGCTAACTAAGGTGACCCTTTGTTTAGCAGATGGAACTGTGGGACCTGAGTTTCAATGTCCTTTCTGCAATGTACCACTGAGAAATGAGCACAATAATCCTGTGCTTTGTTCACAATACAGTATGATTTCAAGTCCTAAATACAATGACTCTCAATGCAGATCAAGATCATCACACTACCTTTCTTGGCTACCACATCATGCTACTGGTTATTCAGTTTGCACTCCTCTGCAATCCACAGATTCACTTCTTACACACTGAATTGCAACCATGATTCCTCCATCTCATAATTGTAAATTTTATTTTTAACCCAAATACATTTTACCCTTAGCTCTATGAAATTTCTTCCTACTTCCAGCTGAATGGTCTAGTTTGTCAAGACCTTTCCTCACTCTATCATAGGGTATGTTCATTGTTCTTCCCAGCTTTGTGTCATCTGCAAACTTGATAAGCATGGTATTTATGCCTTTTTCCAAATCATGATAAAAATGTTAAACAGAAGGGGGTGAAACACAGATCCCTGAAGATCTCCACTAGAGCCCATCTTCCAAGGTGATGTTGACTATACTCACTCACACCCTCTCTTTCCCAAACCCAGAGCTGGGCTGGTTCCCCACTTCTGAGGCTGACTGAGGGCCCTCAGCTCCCAGCATCTCACTGTATTGGTGCCTGCCAGTAAGGACACGCAATTGACTTTAACCTCATTGCACCTCTTTGTTGCTGTCCAACTCTTCATGATTCTGTTTTTGTTTTTGTTTTTTCTTTTTTTCCATGGCCAAAGTTGTTTATTTCAATATATTCTGTTCACAAGAATTAATTAGAAGAATTATTTCACCATACATGCCTGAGAAGTAAGATCCTGGGGGCATCCAAATGTTGAGTTTTGGAGGCCAGTCCACTTCATTATTCTGGCCAAAATGCACACCATCAGGGTTTCTCTCTCGTCCATTGATTGCTTCCAATCCAGATGTTCAAACACTCTGTCATCCCCAAAGCAAGCTCAAAGCAATTGGTTCAGGCATTCTCAGGTCTGTACCTCTCCTAAATCCTCTCTTTTTGTATCTCCAGCACCTGGCAAACAGGTGGTGCAGAATAAATGCTTATGGCGCTACTGGCTGCTTACTCTAGACCAGAGGATTAGATCTCTGTGGAAGAGTTCTCCCAAATGTAACCAACATCAACCTCTTTGCTACAGTTTCTGCCTCCTAGGCCGAAGAGAATTAGGCTGATCACTTCACCTTACTCTCACCTCACTTCTCATAGCTGGAGGAAGGCTTTCTTTTCTTCTCTTTTTTTTCCTTTTTCTTTTCTTTTTGCTAGGCAATGAGGTTAAGTGACTTGCCCAGGAAGTGTCTGAGGTCAAATTTGAACTCAGATCTTCCTGACCCTTGGTCTAGTACTCTATCCGCTGTGCCGTCTCACTGCCTCCTCAGTGCCTACTATACCTCAGCACTCCTAAATTTAGGCAGTCCACCAGCTTTAGCCTCCTGGTAGCAGGGATTACAGCTGTGTGCCGCCACATTCAGCATCTTTTCCAGAATAGCAACAGAGACTTTATCCATAAATTTAAAATAAAATGCATTTGGTTTCATATATTAGTATCTACAATATCTTTATTTTGGCTTTATTGTTAAATAAATGGGTGTGTTTAAGACCAAAGAAAACAATAAAATCAATATTTTTTTAAAAAGAAAGAAACTTTGTCAAATTCTTTCCTCAAATTTAGGTTAATTGTAGCTACAGTATTCCCCCAGTGTACCTGTGCAGTGACCCAGTCAAAAAAAAAGAACAATCTGGCAAGATCTATTCGGTTTTTTTAATCAACTAATTTATTTTTAGTTTTCAAAAGATCTATTCTTGAAGAAGCTATGCAAGCTCCTTGTGATCACTGCTTTCTTTTATAAATATTCACTAACTATATTTTAGACATCAGAGGGAGGCAGGGAAAGAGAAAAGCAAAGCAGAAAGGTTTTTGTTAGAAATCAAAGTCATGCTTGCTGGACTTCAGATTGCAAAAACCATTCTCTACCCTTTTCTGAAATGTTGAATGTTCTCCCTTCCCCAGATCTTACTACCTTTCCTATTCTTGATCTTTCAAAGATCTCTAACAATAGCTCTGCAATCATATCTGCTAGTCCTTTCGGAGCCTGGTAACAATCTTGTCACCTCCTTTATCCAACCCTTCCTCTTCCCTGGCAAGGTGACCACCCCAATCCAAACCCTTATCACCCCCCCAGGCACTATTCCCATAGCATCCGAACTGGGATCTCTACATTAAGTTTTTCTCCTCTCCAACCCATTCTCCATTCAGCTGCCAGACCGACATTCCTAAAACATGAGTTAGATGTTTGTCCTCTGTTCAAGAATGTTTAGAATCTCTCTATTACTTCTAAGACAAAATGCCAGCTGCTGTGTTTGGCACAAAAAGTCCTTTGTAATCTGACTTCATTCTACCTTTCCAGATTAAAATCTGTTTAGGAATCTATTACTCCACCTCACACATTCACCATCCCAGCCAAACCCTTCAAAATGCATTGCCTACATTTTGCATATACTTTCCTGTGTGTGTATTCTCCTCAGCCCCAGAACAATTTAAATTCCTTGAGGGATGGGACTATTTTGGTTTTATCTCTGCATGCATCTTGCCTAGCACACTGTGTGGCACATACAGATACTTAGTAAAGGCATATTCAATTGAATTAAATAGAAAGGGAAATGAACAGCTCTTTAAATGTCACTCTACTTAGCTCAGGCATCAACTCCTTATTGATCATTCTCATTATGTCCTTTCAAGTTTAAAGATCTGATTCTCATTGAAAGAGAATCAAAAACAAAATAAAAATCCTATCTCCAATATTTAGCCATTGCCTGAAGGTTTCTAGTAAGGAGTAACACATTAGCTCAAGAAGCAGTTCATTCCATTGTTGGCTAGCTCTCATCTAATTAACAGGCCTAATTAAGAGGTTTTCCCCTTCTTTAAGTCACATGACCCTCTGCAATTTCTACCCATTGTTCCTGGTTCTGTCCTCTGGGACTAGCCAGGATAAATGCAATTTCTCTTCCAAACGACAGTGCTTCAAAAGTTGGTGACTCCCAATCAGTCTTAATCTTCTCTTCCCCAGGTTAAATGTCTCTAGTTCCTTTAATAGATTTCCATATGGCATGATCCCTAATACCAGATTCTGATAGCTTTTCATCTGTCCTCCCTTCTCTACTACTACCCTAATACAGGCTCTCATTACTAGCTGTCTCATTCAGGTGGTTTAAAGTTCGGAGCACACCTTAAAGCTTGGAGACTGTACTGGGGAGGCTGTCATGTACTTAAGCAAAGGGCTGGCCTACTGGCAGCCCTGAATAATTGGAAGTGAATAGTGACTCTTTGTTTAGAACAATGGATGACATACTTAAATTCTGATTTGAACCAAATGAATGCAGTTAGGAGAGTATGGATGCACTAAAGGGGAGCACTGTTGGCAACCTTGTCTTCAACAAGATTTCTATATTATCTGTCTGCATATTCTGTTCTCTAGTAGGCTTCTATATGCCATCCCCTAATGTATGTATGTGTGTGTGTGTGTATATATGTACATACACAAACATATACATACATGTATGCATACATTGCTCATGCATAAATATGCATATATGTCTCATAATTTATTAGCAAAACCTAGCAATATATGTGTCCACCTGATTTTCCAAAGACAAGAGGGGAAGATCACCCTTTCACTGATCTAGAGCAGAGATTTTAATCTTTTCATATAATGAAACCTTCTCATAGTCTCACAAAGGCTATAGACTCCTCCACATAATGTTTTTAAGCCCATGAAATACATCAGATTATAACATAAACTAGCTATACTGAAGTCATTTTCAAAATATTAAAAGACTAAATTCAGATTAAGAACCCCTGTTAGAGATTTTTCTGTGTAACACACACACATGTCTACTATTGAGTTAGATTAAGTGTATGCAACTCAGGATTGCAAGCCCCATGGAGACTAGTCAATCACCATTGCAGCTAGTAGTATAAAACTAACAATTGTACTCATGGTCACTTCTTCCTCTAGGGAGACTATGGGACAGGAACAACAAAAGGTTCATAGACTTTCCCTGTAATGAACTTTGACCAGGAAGGAATTGGATTTCCCACTTGAACAAGATTTCTGCGTACCCCAGGATCAAGAATCCTAAGGCCCAGGGGGCAGCTATGTGGTTGATAGGGATTGAATATCAGTCAATGTTTTCTCTTCTATCCTCATTAAATGATTCAAGTCCTTAGTAAATGTCCCTTGAATGTGCCCCATGCTTTTAATATGCATGCTTATATTCTGCAATTAAATTAGGCAGGTGAATATTGTCAACTGAGTTGGAAGCAAGGTAGTGTATGTACGGAGGGGGCATCAGCTGGGGCATTTGAGGAATAGGATTGCTCCTTACCCATTGCTGGTGAATAATTATATACAAGTGTAAAACATTTTCCCTGCCAATGAGAGGCTTACAATGTAATTAGGGATACAAGATGAAAAAGACTATAACACGCATGGAACAAGAACAAATGGATGGACATATAATTGAGTGTTAATTTGTATAGTAATAAGTAAATGGGGATATGGCATCTGAATTGTGATTTGAAAGTGGGTAAGAGTTCATCCAGTAGAGTTGAGTAAAGGAAATATTTCAGATACAGGGAGTATCTGGAGAATGTTGGGGTGGGGTTAGAGGGAGCAGGGCATGTATTTTCTCAAAAGTCAGAGGAAGTAATGGGAGACTGAGCTAGGAAGGTAGTTTGGATTGAAATCACAGAGGACTTTCATCCTCAGGCCAGGGAATGAGTGAGAGTAGCATGTTCCTAGACACTAGAGAAGTTGGATTCTCTCACATGTTTTGGGATGGGAGGAAGCAAAGCTTAAAGGAGAGAGATATTTTGCCAAATCCACTGGCAGCTGGGGTGGTGTCAATATCTTTTAGGTCAATTGGAGATTTCAAGGTAAAATTCTGTAAGATGGTAGTAAAAAACAGAAATAATTCCATCTGAGCCAGGCCCTCACCAGCACATAACCATTTTCCTGAAAGAAAGAAATGAAAAGATTTGCTAGTTGTGGAGTTTTAAGTCATCTAGAACAGTGGTCTTGCAATTAAATAGCAACAGTGGCCACTAAACCATATATAAGGATTCTGTGGTTGCATATTGACTTAGGAAACCCCGTGTTCACATTATCTATGTTCTATTGTGTTTGTGTTTATTTTGTTATATATTTCCCAATTATATTTTAACCTGGTTCCTGCTGCACCCAGGAATCTTGAGGGCAGTGTATTTGACACCTCTAATCTAGACCGCTCCTGCTGATTTATAAGTTCCCCTCTACTACCCACTGGCATTCCTAGAAGACGATTCTTTCCTTTCCTCTCTGTTCCCTGCTCAGCACATCACCCCTTATCCCAGGGAAGACTCAGCCCTTTGGCCCATTTTCAGTGCAGGGTTAGGAGTAAAATGCTTTCTTAGTTCTTTTAAAGCCCTTATCCTGCTCTGTAGAAGGAGAGCTCTCTCCCTGAAAATCAGTATTCCTGAAACAGAGTAATTCCTGGGATTTGAAACTCAGAGGAAAGGAATAATTGCCCCCAAGGAGAGAACAGAGCCAACCACTCAACTCCACAGGGCAATGATGTTCAATTCCCCTTTGGGTAGTTTGAGTCACAATTCTGGACGGGCAATTCTGGAATCAGTTTCCCAGTTGGTGCCAATCTCCTTTCCACTCCAGCAGTACAATCAAGGACAACTGCCCCCAAACCTATCAATTGAAGTGTTCCTTCAGTTGATGATGTATGATCCAAGGAGCACTGAAAAGTTAAGGAACTCTTGCCACCCTCCTCTTAGAATTTATTGCTGCAAGAAACTTTAGTGATAACCTATTTGAACCCCTTTGACATATGACGTAACCGAATCCTAGAGTGGTGAATTGACTTGAACAAGGATACGCAGGTAATAAGTAGCAAAGCTAGACTGGAACCCATGTTGTCTGAGCTGTTGATCCATCTTTGGTGCACACATCTTACCTGTTGAAAAAGGCATGAAATAGTCACTCTTCTCCAAGTTGCCACTTTCATCCAGGAAGTGTCCTGGGTCAAACTGGCCTGGATTGGGGAACTCTTTCTTGTCATATAGAACAGAAGTCAGTAATGGTATTATGGTAGTGCCCTAAAATGAAGAGATATAGATAAGCAGAATTAGAAAATAAGAATCTTACAATGTCAGTACTGAAAGAAGTGCTTGGGTGCTTGTACTGAGACCCCAACTCCAAAACTATATTTCTCCCTAGCTTCAGAAACACTATCCCTGCCACTTTCTCCCTAGCCCAGGAACATTATGCCTAGCAGTTACCCATGTGTGGGCCTCAGCAACACACTTATCTCTCTCCCTGGAGCAGTTACAAACCACACCTGTAGGAATTATTAGTTTGAACTGGCTTTGAATTGGCTAATTAAGATATTGATACCCACTGGACTATCTAAGCCAACTCTCTACCCCATTATCTGCATCCTGTACTCATGTGTATCCTAGACTTAGGACATCTGTGTACTCCCTACAGCTATCTTGTCAAACAAGACTTTGGTGGCAGACGGGACAACCCTCAGTTGGCCCTGACTGCTAGTTACCTTAGTGACATAGCAGACCTAAAAATGACACCTCCCTGTAGCCCCTCCTTGGGCTTTTCCTGGTGAACTCTGGGTAAAATGCCTGTACAGTAGACACCTTAATACAAATTTCATCCTGAAAAAGGTAGAAGCAACATGGAAGAAGTCCATTCTAGACCTGATTTTCCCCAACAAGAAAGAACTGGTTGCTGAGATGAAAATGATGATGTTATGATAATCGTGGGCAAATGTTATTGTCTTATCTTAGAATGTAATAGAGGAGAAAAAAGCCAAGCACACCTTTTCCCTCTGTGACCAATACAAATAAGAATTCTAATCTAAGCTGTGATATTTGCTACCTATGACACCTTGGGCAAGTCCTTTCATATCTCTGGGCCTCAGATTGTCTTTAAAGTGAGGAGGGTGATGAAAAAAAATTAAAATGAATGGTGTATAATTGTACTTATGAAGATTGGCCCTGAAAAAAAAAATGAAAAAAGCACCTTCCTCCTTTCTTTGCAGAAATGGGGGACAATGGTTATAGAATATTACCTATATATCAAATCCCTTTGAAGTGTTAGATAGTTTTACTGGACTGTTTTTTTCCCCTTTCTTTTCTATACTTTATTACAAGAGATATTTACAGGGTAGTGGGGAGAGTTATATATTCCCAAATGAAAGTGATAAACATAAAAGCCAGGTATAATTTTACATAAACCTTAGATTAGAGGAGAGCAGATTTCAAACACCTCAGAGGAAGAATAAGTAAGCTCCCACTAATTAAAATTCTAGAAAGGAAGTTAATCAAAGAGGGGTAGGAAGCTCTCAAAAATGAAATCCTGGTGGTACAAAGAAAAACAGTTCTGATGGGAAAAAAGACAGTTACCAGAAAGTATCAGTGTAGATACCCATTCAGGGAACTCAGCAAATAAGTTAAATTGTTAAAAGAAATAAACAAAACATAGAATTTTAAAAAAACAGGCAAAGGAAGCTTGCCAGGGTCCTATAAGAATGGCAAAAGGGGTTCAACAGCCTGTAGCAAAAATGAGTTTATTATATGCAAAGCAGGAAAGAAAATGGCCCCTTTGGGCCACTTGATACCCTCCTGTTGGCTTTAAGGAGTTTATTTTGGCTGGAAAGGTTGGGATTCAGTCATGATTGTTCTGAGCCACAAATTAGGAAAATTCCTAATACTTAATAAAAGGCTGGGCTCTCTGCCTATCTTTAGACTTACATCTATCACTAGATATCCCCTGGCCTCTTTGTGGTTACGATAAAATTCAGTTAACTGAAACATTTTTGAAACCAAAAAACAGACTGTGTTAATGATATCTGTTGTTGCTCATCCATTTTCTTTTCTTTTTTTCTTTTTTGGCAGTTGGGGTAAAGTGACTTGCCCAGGGTCACACAGCTAGTAAGTGTCAAGTGTTTGGTCTGAGGCTGGATTTGAACTCAGGTTCTCCTGACTTCAGAGCCAATGCTCTATCCATTGCACCACTCCTCATCCTTTTTCAAAGAGAACCAATGACATCACTGGTGATGTCTTGACTTGCATGTGAATTGGATTTAAGTGAGGCAGAGTTACACTAAGTCATTACCCTCACTAACTCTCCAGAGTCATGGAAGTCCAGTGGCAGGATAAAAGCCAAGATGACTCAAGATGGCCCAGGGTGCAGTAGATGACCTTGTCATCTTTGATGTTTGACTAAGCTCTAAGTCCTCTACAATGCCTGCTTCTGCTGCCCTCATGGGCATCAAAACAAATTCCCTCATCTACCAATTCACAATTTCACATGATTGGAGTAGATAACCCACTACCTCACTGACAGATTTGAAGTCCATTGGTTACCCTCAACCTGGTTTATCTCAGCTGCTGAGATGGTTTACTGCAGTGTGGAAAGAGCTGACTTTTTTCTTGGGACTTCCCTCAGCCTGGGTCTTCCATTGCAAGATTCTTATAGAGCCAATAACTCTCCTTGATATCTCTTATGCCTACCGCAGTTCAATTCTGCCTTTATTCCATGCTTGCTCCAACCTCTCCAGTCCAAAGGCTCAGCATGGCTTTCCCCAATTATAAGACTTCTCTTTTTTTACTGAAATTGGTCAGGGTACAACCCAGGATCTCACATAGTGGCTTTGATTGATTCAAGGAGGGGTACAGATCACCAGTTCACATTCAGTTGATTCTTTGATTCAATCAAAAGTGTTTACACTTATTCAAGGCACCTTAGCCAAATGGAGTGACAATCAATGCCACCTTGCAGTGGTAAACCTTAGAGTGAGCTGATGTTGGTGAGGATAACAAAGAACAACAAAAGGGTTGGGAGTGCTAACTATAGTGTGGGGGAAAGGAGGTCAAAGAAAGAATGAGACTGCTCTGAATGGATTGATGATAGTAGTAACAGGCAACAAGTGATGGAAAGCAGCTGGGTGGCACAGTGTACTGTGCCTGAAGTCAGGAAGATTCATCCTTGTGAGTTCAAATCCGGCCTCATACACACTAGCTGTTTGACCCTGGGCAAGTCTCTTAACCCTGTATGCCTTAGTTTCTTATCTATAAAATGAGCTGGAGAAGGAAATGGAAAATTACTCCAATATTTTTTGCCCAGAAAACCCCAAATGGAGTCACAAAGAGTCAGACATGACTGAAACAACTCTGTAACGGCAGTAACAAGAAGAAATGAAGCAGAAATTCTCAATTCTCATTTAGCCTGAATTTTCTCTTAGAAGTATAATGAACTTTGTACTGGAAAGGACAAAAAGTATAATTACGGTTAATGGAGCCAAGATAAGAAAGGAGATAGTAAGAAAACACTTAGAGCTACCCTTGTTGAGTTCAAGTTACCAGGCATAGGTGACACCTTCAGGTACTGAAAAGGCTGATGGATATGACTGAGTCACAGAATTGAAGATGCACCAAGCTGGAAGCAATTTCAGAGACCACCTAGTTCCAGTCCAACTTCAATTCTGAAAAAAAGATCCTTCTATTTCAGATTCAACAAGTTAATTGGGTGATTATCTCCAGTAAAGGGCCTCTCCTGACACAGTCTGTTCCATTATGGTGAGGCACAAATTGTGAGGAAATTTTCTCCTGCATCAAGCCTAAATTTTCTTCTTTTCAGTTTCCATCCATTATTCCCAGTTCTGCCTTCTGGGTCCAGGCAAAACAAGTCTAGTCTGTCTTCCAAATGACAGCCCCTTGAACATTTGAAGTCACCTATACTGTCCTTCATAGATCCTCTTTTTTCTAGGCCAAGATCCCCAATTCCTTCAGCTAATCTTCATATGGAATGAAAGAATGAAAGAGAAAGAGAGAGAGAGAGAGAGAGAGAGAGAGAGAGAGAGAGAGAGAGAGAGAGAGAGAGAGAATGAGAATGTATCCCACTTTCAACTCAATCTCCACAGCCATCATCAGGAGGATCAACCATTATACAGAAGAAGCCCACCACTCCCACCATCATCAACTTTATCTGCTGACTATTATGTCAGCCTAAGAATCCTGAAAATAGTAGTGTCTCTCAGGCCACCAAATCTCTACCAACCTGGCTCCCAAAGCCATTTTCCATGGGAGAGGGAGGGGAACCAATTTTGGAAATAACTGTCAGTTGCTTCTGTAAGTGCTTTAACCCTCACTTTGTCAGAAGCCACAGCTACTAAGGACCCAGAAAAGAAAATTCTTACCACCAAGAATTGTCACTAGATTTTTAATTTCTTGAAGGCAAGGACTATCTTTTGCCTCTTTTTGAATCACCAGGACTTAGTAAAGTGTCTGGCACATAGAAGGCACTTAAATGTTTTTTTGACTGACTGATCAAAGTCCTTAGCATTAGGTAACAAGGATGGTAAGATGAAGTGAGGATTTTTTTAAACATGGAGGAGACATGGACATTTCTAGAGATATCAGCGAAGGAACCAGTATATAAGGAAAGATTGGAGATGAGAGAGAGTTGGAATGATAGTAGGGGAAATCTGTTGCAGACAACTGTATGGTATGGGCTCAAGGGAGCATGTAGAAGGGTTTGCTTTGGTGAGGAAAAAGGCAATCTCTTTATCAGAGACAGAAGTGAAGGATGAGATAGTAGGGGAAGATATCTGAATGATGTAAGATGGGGAGGAGGGGAGAAAGGTATGCTCATGGAAAATGCAATCAATTTTTTCTAATGAAGTATGAGGTGAGGTCCCCAGCTCATGGGATGGGGAGAGAGGGTGGATGGGAATCTTAAAGACAAGGCTTGGAACAATCACTGTGAAGACTAGGATAATCAATCTATAATGGGAGTCTGATGCTTCCTCAGAATTCTTCAGATGGCATCTACAATTGGAGGATGCTATAGACAGAATAGCAACTCTCCATGTGGGAGATGCTATGGAGCAGCCTCCAGAATTGTAATGATGTGTAAGGGAAGTGTCTTGGAGGAACAGGTTATGGAGCACATGTAGGTATTCTGCAAGTGGTTCTGGTTGGCTAACCACATGTTGAAGAGGAGACTTCTTAGATTGACTCTGGCAGCATTTAAATGGACGTGTTTCACCTACAGTTTTTCTGTCCCATTTATTTCTGGTGATCTCAGTGACTCCTTCATTCATGGCATCTGATGAAGGGAGTAGAATTACTGACCTTGAGTATTTTGAAAGATTGAGAGAGCAAGTCACAGGAATGAAAGCCCAGGCTGAGTCAGGCAAGCATCAGAGCCTCAAGGAGCAAAGAAAACTTCATAGTTCTCCACTCATTGGCAGCTAAGAGAAGGATACATATGGCAGAGATGCAGCCTTTGGTTCTGAATGTGATAGGAACAATTCAATGCAGGAACTGAGTGAAGTTGATCTTATATCCACCAGAGACTGAGGATGCAGGGGAGAGTATGCCCTATAGGCACTGGGGAAAATGCTCATTTTAAAAAGCCAATTGGTATTAAGTAGTTAAATGGAACTAATTTTCTAGACAATGGACTCTAACAATGGAGGAAACACAAGCAGTGTGGGGCTCAAATATGTGGCGGTAGGGAAAAAGCTACCCTAAGCCCCTCAGTGTACCCTGGAACCCCAAGGGGAAATGGAGCTAGCCTACCTGGCCTCAAGAGAGTGAGCATTCAAGCTACAAATCAATTAGGGAGGAGTGGAATGACTGCTTTGCTGCAGCGAGTGTCCAGTTGATATTAGACAATATAAATTCATGTTATATTGCTGGGAGAAACATTTCTGACCTTAGGGATTAGGTATTGTCTGAACTTAGTATCTTGTGCCACAGAATGGGTCAGATTGGCTGGGACCAGATCAGTATATCTTTCTATCTCATGGATCACAGCATCTGTGTAAGGCACGCTGTTTCTGTCCTTCAAGCAGGGACTTCGGTTTTGGCCAATCACACGGTCAATTTCTTCGCGAATTTTATCTGTTGTGATAGAAATTAAAATTTATTTTAAAAGTGAGGATAAAAATTTTTATCTCCATCAGTTTCTCTGATCTCTCTTACCTGAGTTCCAGTAGTAAAAATTCCACTGACTCTCCCTATTTATGGGAAAATGAAGAGTTCAATTTCAATCTCTTGACCCAGTGGAGAATTCATTTTAGATTCCAACAAGAATCCTAAATTCCATATCCTCAAAGCATAAGCCTCACAATGTCCAGAGATAAATACAGGACAAACAATAATTGGGTAAGGAAGCAGTGAGAAAATGAAATGGGGCTGGGACTTAACAAAATATGACCAATAAATTCATAAGAGTCTAAGTTACTTATTTACAGAGCTGTGTGAGTGACAGGCCATCCAGTTGTGCTAACTCCTCCAACAGGTCAATCACACAAGCCCAAGCAAAATGGCCCCTCTGAATCATTATGCTCTCCAGTCTGTTGCAGAGAATTAAACCTAGTCTAAGAGTAACCCTCTGCATTTTTTTTAATAGAACACTATTTCTGGATTCAGAGAACTCATGTTCAAATGCCACCATGGTCCCTTTCCTAATTGTATGACCTTGAGTAAGTAATTGAACTCAGGTTTCAGTTTCCTCATCTGTAAGACAAGGGGGTTGGATGACATTGTCCCTACGGTGCTTTCTATCACTAAATCCATGATCCTATGACTTAATGTTCCTCTTTTTTCTACTTAGTAATCAACACTAATGCTAGATATTATTTATGAATTGTATCACAGCTATACTACCATGTAATTAGTCACTATCTGATAGATCTGTCTCTGTACAGGGAGGTAATACTCCAAGATACATTATAAACCTTTAGTAAGTCTCATTTTCTACAGATTGTTTTAGCCTAATGAGCCCTCATTATAAGTTGGTCTTGTTTTAAATAGACCATTGACAGGATTGATCAATCATTATTTATTTTGATGTTTGAGGGAAAGTAAGAACATTGAGTGGAAATGATAATAACTAATATTTACACAGAGCTTTAAGTTTATGAAATGTTATTATATATACCATCTTTTTACATCTATTTATCTATTTATATGTATATGTACATATACATATTATCTTATTTGATTCTCAAAACAACTTTGTGACAAAAGTATCACAGGTATTAGTACCACCATTTTATAGTTGAGGAAATTGAGGTTCATGGATTTTACGTAACTTCTCCATGATCACACAGCTATTGGGTATCAGAGGCCAGATGTGAACCTTGGTTTCCTCTATACCTTTTCTTTCAAAAGACACTAAACTCTTTCAAAATATATTGGACTCTTTCTTGATTGGAAGACCTGGGATCTAGGTCTAGATTTGCTACTTAATCACTATGTAACATTAGGAAAGAGATTCTTTGGGGACTTAGTTTCTCCATCTATAAAATACAGATAAGACCTACCCTTCCAACCTCAAAAGTTGTTGTAAGGATCATATGTATATAAAAGTACTTTCTTTGTACTACCCAAAACAAGAAAATGTCATTTAAAAATTGGTCCCATTTATGAAAACACACATAAAATCATACATGAAATTTAAGTGAAACTGTTATAATATTTGTAAAACTACAGTGTTTTAGTTGTAAAAGATCTAAATAACTATTGTATCGGTGTAGCAAAAGTGACATTGATTAAATTAATTCATAGCTTTAATGCAAAATCAACAAAAATGTCAATTAATTTCATTGTAGAACTAGATTTAAACATGATGAATATTAGATGGAACTGAAGGGCAAGAATATGAAGGGTTAATTTTAAAAGTAAGAGTGGATGAAAATGCACTTTTTCTTCCAGGTTGTAAAACGTGTTATTATAACTCATTAAATTACATCTCATTAAAACTGTCTTGTACTAAATGGAAAAGTAAGATAAGATGAAAGAATACAGATTTCAGAAATAGAACTAAACACTTATAAGTACCAGTGTTTGATAAATTTGTAGGCCATAAAAACTGAGAGAATTGTTCATTTAACAATAACATTATGAATGACTCCATGAGAGTAGAGATTGCATTGTTTTTCATCAAGCCCCAAGGTCTTGCATATATAAAGGACAGATAGGAAGAGGGGCTATATCTGTAATTTCATTGATATGGGGAACTCCCAAATGGTAGAGGGAAACCTCCTCTCTCAATGTAGGCTTCCACTTTGCAATTTATAGTCTCAGGATGGTTACTATCTAAAGCACTTAGAGGCTAAGTGAGTTATCAATCATTACACTGTCAGTACGTGTTCATTTACAGATAAGTAATATACAGGGTAACTAGAAGGTAATCTTAGAAAGAAGGTCCTGTGGTAGGGGAGTGGAATCTGGAAAGGGCTTTTGCAGAAGGTAACATTTGAGTTAAGTTGAAAAAAGCCAGAAAGGTGGAGATGAGGAGGGAGAAATTCCAGCAAAGACATCAACTAGTGAAAAAGCATAGAGTTGGAAGATGGCTTGTTGAATTTGAAGAATTGCAAAAAGGTTAGTGTTGTTGGATTATAGATCACACCAAGGAGAGTAAAGTACAAGAAGACTGAAAAGATAGGAAGAGGGCAAGTTATGAAGGACTTTAAAAGTCAAAGAGAGGATTTTATATTTGATCCTGAAAGTAATAGGGAAGCGCTGTCATTTATTAAGTTAGCGGAGTGACATGGTCAGACCTGCTCTTTAGTAGGATCACTTGGGCAGCTGAATGGTGAATGGACTAGCATGAGAAGAGAATTGATATTTACTTTTGGTATAGATTTTGTATTTATATATACTACATGCGTACTACTTTTTACTACGTACTATGCACTGTAGTAATGTGCTGGGGACCAAAAGAAAGGCAAAAAACCCAGGGTCCATTCCCTCAAGGAGCTCATGTTCTAATAGGGGATATGATATGCATATGGTGTTTCCCTCCACTTAATGTAAGCATTTAAAGGTCTACAGCTCTATTTTTCTATTTTATCTCTCTCTGGTTTATGTGTCAATACCATATTTGTATCACAGAAAGAATTTGGAAGGGTCTCTCCTCTTTTTTACAAGTTTGATAGAATTGACTTGTATGGTTCTGGAATTTTTCTTTGAGGGTTCATTTTTACCTTGTTCAATTATATTTTTTAATACTGGGTATTTTAATAATGTGTTTCATCTGTTAATCTGGTTATTTTACATTTTTGTAAGTATTCATCTATTCCATTTAAGTTACTGGTTTTATTGGAATATAATTGGGCAAAATCATTTCTTACATTTTTTTAAAATTTCCTCTTACACCATGAATATTCCTTTTTCAGTTTCATGTAAACAATTTGATTTTCCTCTCTTCCTTAATCAAACTAGCTGTTCATGAGTGCTTTTTCCCAGAAAATAGTTCATTGTATTTATCAGTTCAATGGGTATTTTTGCTTTCAATTTTGATAATCTTTTCTTTTACTTGCAGAATTTCTACTCTGATGGTTAGATGGGGGGGATGGAAGCAATTTACTTTTCCAGTTTTTTTTCTAGTGGCATCCCTAGTTTGATTTGGTTTTTCTCTCTTTAGTTAATGAAAATATTTAGAGTTATAAAATTTCTCCTTAAGATTTCCTTAACTGTACCATATCAGTTTTGGCATTTTGTCTCATTATTGGAATTTTTCATGAAATTTTCTATTGTTTTTATGACCTTTTGTCCCACCAGTCTTTAAGAATCATGATGTTTCCAATCATTTTCAATTCTTAGTTCAAATTTAATTTTAAGCTAATATGATTTTTATTCTATTGTTGTCAGTGAAGTATGTTTAGCTTTTTTGAATTTGTTTGTGAGGTTTTATACCCCAATCAATGGTCAGTTTCTATAAAGGTGCCATGCATACCTGAGAATACTCCCATTCCCTTTATATTCCCATTCAATAATAACTAAAAACTCCTATTGTCTCTAATTTTTTAAGATTTTTATTCAGATCCTTGACTTCTTTTTTATCCTTTTATTTAGATTTGCTAGGTCAAAAAGGGACATATTAAGGTCTTCTGCTATTATATTTTTACTGTGTATTTCTCCCTGCAATTCAATTGGTTTTTCCTTTAAGCATTTAGATGCCATATGAACTATTTATATTGATTTATTATCTGTGATATCTTTGGGAATCATGTAGTTTCTGTATTTATAGTGATTAACTTTACTGTAACCTTGTCTGAAAACAAAACTTGTTTTGAGTTTAGTTAAAGTATGATCGGTTTTGTTATAGCATATCATTTTAACTCTGTGAGAATTTTTGTTTCATTTGTGTTTCTTCTAAACATTGTATTGTTGGATTCTGTTTTCTAGTCCATCCACTAACCTTCCATTTTATAGGTGAATTCATCCTGTTCATATACATTTCCTTCCCCTCAATTTATCCTCTTATACTTTTTTTTCCTCTTTGTCCCCAACCCCCTCTTCTATGAAGAAGGTGGTGAAAAACGAGTTTACCTAACACTTATGCTCTATAAATGATATAATCTGTTTCTACTCTATTGCCCTTCTTCTTTTCCCCTTGTTTCACCCCTAACAACAGATTTTTATTCATTATCTTCTTCCTTTTAATTCTCTCTTCACATTTCCCTCTCCAACACTGGAGTTTTAAGAGAGTTTGTTCATGACTACTACTTACCTCTCAAATCCCCCCACTCCTTGTCCCTACCTATTTAATGTATTTCTAAACCTCACCCTTTCTGTATATGCATATGTGTTTTTATGTGAGTGTGTTCAACCTTCCTTTGTCTGGTTCAGATGAAAGTGATCTAGCTGATAATAAAAATATTAATATCTCTTGATATTTTACAGTTCACAAAATACTTACTTCCCAACAACCAAATATGAGGGAGGGAGGAACCTTAAATATTTGTGTGTAATTTTGGGGAGGAAGTAGTTGTGTCAAAACAAAAGTAACTGCTCTAGTGCCTTATCATACCATGGAACTCCTTCTGGGTTTGGGTGGCTGTGAAAGGAAGAATACAAGCTCTCAGCAAAGTCCTATTGAATGGCTTTGAATAAGCACCTGGAAACTGCAAATTGCATGGATGCCCATCAGTTGGGGAATAGCTGAACAAGTTGTGGTATAGGATTGTGATGGAGTACTTCTCTGCTATAAGAAATGATGAGCTCAATGATCTTAGAAAAACATGGAAAGACTTGAATGAAAAAATGAAGAGTGAAATGAGCAGAACCAAGAGAACATTGTATATAGTAACACAATATTATTTTAAGAATGACTTTGAGAGAATAAGTTATTTTGACTATTATAAATACCAAAATTAACCATAAAAAACATATGAAGAAAGATACTATCTGCATCCAGAGAAAGAACTGATAAATAGAAGTATGTGTGGAATAATTTTACATACATGCATGTATACATATACATACATATATATGTAGTATGTGTATATATACATATACATATATGTATACACGCACATTATATATATACATATATACATATACATATACGTATACACACATACATACACACACATTTTATTTATATATATATATATATGTGTGTGTATATATATATACACACACACACACACACATACACTATATAGACACATACCTATTTGTGTCTATTGGTACCCATCTCTAGGGTGGGGTAAGGGAAGTGTAGGGAAAAAAAGTAATATACGTGATAATTTTGTTTTATATCTGAAAAGAATAGCAAGTTTCTCGTAGTAGATTTGCAGTTTTCTACAATCATCTTTTTCATGGTCCTATGTTATGAAAACATTTTTTTATTCCATAAATATATATAACATAAAAAATTAAAGGACAAAAAAAGAGTATGCATCTGGAGATGGTCTGTGTCATCTGGGGACAAACTGGAATATGTGGTGACTGCTAAATCCATGAAAATGACAATGGAAATATTCCCAAAGATAGTCTCCACAGGAGTGGACATTACTTTCGAGCATTATTATTGGGCGTATTGTCCATAATCCCACCTGTTATCTCAGGGTGTTTCAGGAAAAGCAGAAGGCCATATCTCAGAGTGGTACTGGTTGTTGCTATTCCTGCACCAAATATATCAGACACAGTGTAGGCCAACTTTTCCATGGTAAATTCAGATTGTGGTTTTTTTCTTTTCCTAGGAATAATTTGATAAAGTTAAGTAAGAAGCAGAATGTTTCAATATCAAGAGTGGTGGGTTTGGAGCCCAAGGACCCGAGTTCAAATCCCAGTTCTGCCCGTAAAGAATCTATGCGAGCTTGGGAAAGTCACTTATCTTCTCTAAGTCTTATTTTCCTCATCTGTAAAATGAGGGGGTTAAACTCAATGAACTTTAAGGTCCCTTTCAGCTCTAAAGAACTATGATCTTTTTGTGGTGGCAAAAAGCTGGAAATGAACTAGTTCCTGCTAAAACCAGACTTATACAGCAATATGAAGGTTGAAACAAAATTTAGAAAAGATTGGCTATCTGGGGTGAGTGGGAGGGAAGAGTGCAGAATGACACTGAGGTTTCAAGCCTTGAGGGGTAGGAAAGATAGTATTCCTGACAGTAGTAGGCAAGTTCAGAAAAGGGGAAGTTTTGGAGGGTTGGGGAAGGGATATAATTCACGGTATCTTACATGACAAAAAGTTAAAAGTGCTGTTGTTATGTTCAGTTATTTTTCAGTTATGTTCAAGTCTTCATGACTTGAACATTTGGGGTTTTCTTGGAAAAGATACTAGAGTGTTTTGCCATTTCCGTCTCCAGCTCATTTTACAGATGAGGAAACTGAGGCAAACAAGGTTAAATGATTTGCCCAGCGTCACACAGCTAGTAAGTGTCATGTGTCTGAGACTGGATTTGAACTCAGGTCCTTCTAACTCCAAGGCCAGAGCTCTATCCACTGTATGACCTATCTGCCCTAAGACTGGATTTTAGCTCAGGAGGAGTCTTCCTGACTCCAGTCTTGCCATGCTATCCACTGTGTCACCTAGCTGCCCTTTAAAAAGTTCTACTGAGTCACTTTTAGCCTTATTCCCTGTAGAGATTTGCAGCAACCACAATTGGCATGATGGGAGTTGAAAGGAATTCACTCAGCCTAAATCACCTAGTGAGCGGCAGCATGACATAGTAGATAGATGGGCTAGCCTTGAAATCAGAGCGATCTAGGTCCAAATTCTGCCTGGACACATAATAGCTAGATAACCATAGGCAAGCTACTTAATCTGTCAGTTGCCCCACACAACTGTCTAAATAAATTACAGATGAGAATCCAAACTCTATTACTGAAGGGACTTTCCGCTCTCAAAGTTACACACACACACACACACACACACACACACACACACACACACACACACACACAGGTATCAATGATATCATAGGTCAAGACTAAATTAAGTAAAAGATTGGGGTCAGAGAACAGCAGCTTAAGCAAAAGCAAAGTTGTTCAAAAGATGACAAACATAAGTCTAAAAGTAAATTAAATTTCATTAATTAAAAGTAAATTAAACGTGTCTACTGGCTGGCCTGGATGATCTCAAAAGAGCAAGATAGTTCCTGGTGCTATGTTCTGAAAGAGCTAAGACTCCTCCCTAATTCAAATAGCCAAAGCCTGGTAGCAGTTACAATTCATCAGAACATGGTAGCAAAAGATTTGCAAAGAACATCCCACTGACAACCAGCAGATGGAAACAGTGGAAATACTGGTCCAGTTGTATAGCTCAACAATCAACTCAGCATAGCATACCCACAAATCAATAATATTATCTAAAAAGCATATAACACCAAGAGCTGCATGAAGGAAGCTGCAAGTGGCAATCATGGAGATGGAGATAGGTTTCATCCCAAGAATATGAGTTGCCTTGGTATGTATATGTGTGTTTATTTGTATCACCAGATAGATATAGATACATAGAAAAATAAATGGATAGATGGATAGATAGATAGATAGACAGACAGACAGACAGATATTCCTTACATGTGGGTCCTCTCTCATGTGTCTCTTTAACCAGTGTTAAGTCATGAAATAAGGTACTCCTGGATTGCTGGCTAGGGGGAAAGTGATTTTCATTGTAAATTTTATTACCATAGTTAAACTAAATGTCTTTCGCTTTGAACTAATGTAGCTTCCTTGCTATCTTCTCACCATGATGTTCCAGTTGTCATCCTTCCCTTCCCTCATCCTTCACTCTCCCAATCCCACCACTGGCTTTCTAGCTCCCTTTTTATATGTTGTTCTCCATCTTGAGAACAAGGACCTTCTTGCTTAGTGTCTGAAACATAGGGAACATTTTATAAATACTTCATCTTGTCTATCTATTTGTCTCTTTTCTTCTGGTTAATCTGGCAAGAGAAACCTATGTGGAGCTCACAAGGCACACTAATTTCTTTCAGGCTATTTCAGGACATCTACCAGGGCACTGGGTGCTTTTCTTCTAGAATCTACCTTGTGTCTGGTGCTTTTCAATTTCTTCAGTTCTTTTGCTGTATTTTTTAAAAATTATACTAGAATTTTGCTTTATTCATTTTCTAGTTAATCCTTCCTGCTACGTAGTGTGGATTAATAGGTCTTCTTCTTCTTCTTGTTTTTTGTCTTTGTTGTTTTTTGAAAGGTAAGAGAGGAACTGGACTCTTTTTGGGTCCTCCCTCTGCCATCGTTGTCAGAGAATCCACTTGTATCATTTCAACCCCATCTGTTATTACCACCCACTAAAACAACTCCACTTCAATCTGGCCACTCAGTTTGCCATCATCCCCCACAATGACCTGTCTATTCAGAGTCCTGAAGTACCCTTTCCCATTCAGATTGCCAGTTTGTTTTATTGCCATCACCTCCCTCAATATCCAGATCAAAACTTAGCTCTTCTAGAAAAATGTTTTATATCCAACTGTTCCCAATTCTATTGTGCATCATTATTGTCTACTATTTTGCCCTTCTTGATATAGTCCTAGAATCATAGGCTCCTACATCTTGCAGCTGCAAGAGACCTTAGATGTCATCAATTCCAAACTCTTCATTTTACAGATGAGGAAACTGAGGCATAGAGAAGTTAACTGACTTGTCCAGGGTCTAACAGCTAGTAAGCATCTGAGATGGGATTTAAACACAGGTCTTCCTGACTCCACATTCTGTTCTTTCTGCCCTGGGCCATGCTTCTCACCTTATAATTATTCTCAGGCCCTTCAAGTATATCCTTCCTCTAATTAGCTTATAAACTCTTTCATGACAGGGACCAACTGGCCCTCAGTTCCTCAGATTGTTCTCTGAAGACACTTGCTTTAAGAAATTCTCACTTCCCTTTATTTACTTGTGAACAGCCCCCAATACAGTAATCACATGACTCACAAGAATTGAGCTGCAGCCCCATTCTTCTCACTATACCTGCTCCATTTGAAACTGTCAATCAAATCCTTAGGGTTGTTGGGGTCCAGGGATTCTTGGTGCTCTTTCACTTTCCCTAAAATAAAATTATGCAGTACTTGACAGTTCTTAAATAATTTGTGATGATGTCCTGGGAAATATTGTACCAAAGCTGGGAAGAGATTGTAGATCTATAAAAAAGAAACAATGGCACATTTCTTTTTCAGTAGATACACAAGATAGTTCTCTAACCTTGGATTCAGAAGAGAAGACTGTGACTAGGTGAGGAGAAGTTGCCAGGGCAAATCCCCTATGAAAAAAAATGTGACTTATCTTCACTCATGCTCTTCCCTCACCTGCAAAACCCCCTGAAATCATTTTAATATTCCTCCCCCTGCTGGCAGCTAGTGTCCATATGAACTTCCACTTTCCATGATTAATTAATTACCCCTGAAAGGTTTCCTGTCTACCGTTTTCTCAGAGCTCTGCTTTCTAATTTCCAATGGGGCAGCTGACACCTGCTAACACTATCTAGGCTCAAGTGTTCATGGCCAAGGTCAGCAGTCCTCTCGCAATGGGTATTTTTAAACCAGGGACCTTTGATGTCAGTCCCTGTGGCACATAGGTAGACTTCTTCAGAAAAAGACCTGATAGAGGCCCTCAGTGAAACTCTAAAGGGGTGACCTGCTCCATCTACATTCAAGAGGCCATCTGTTTATGATTAGAAAGATTTGGATTATGGCTGGATCTCACAGTTGTACCTCCCAATGAAGCTCATATTGGACCCCAGCCTTGATCCAGGTAGAGTTCCTCTCTCTAGAAAAAAAAAGAGTGCTCTATGTCCCAGAAGGAAAGAACTCTGCACACACCTGTGCCCATGGCGAACTCAGGATCTTGACCTTTTCATCTAAAATTTCCATTAAATGTAGAAATTTCTGATCATGATATTCAAAACGCTTCTGGAAAATGATAGAGCAGATGACATTGCAGGGAGCACACCCAAGGATGAATGTGGGGTCACAGGGCATCCCTAAAGAATCAGGGAAAGAGACAGAGCTTTAATATTGATTTTAACCGATTAGCATTGAGATCACAAGGGAATATTTGCATGCCTTGAGGAGCAGTGGCCACCATACTATTTTACATTCTCCTCCAACAAGTTTAACTTTCATTATAGCTGAGAATTACATCGTACCGAAAGGTAATAAAAAGCACTTTGTACATATTTTCTGATTTCATCCTTACAACAGTTTGGTGGAGAAGGAGAATGAGAAAAGGACAAAATGTAAGAGGTTTTTCATAATGGAGTGTTATGTGGCTTAAATGAGATAAATGATATAAAAGCATTTGCAAACCTTAAGGCACCATATAAATCTCAGGGATTATTATTATTATTATTATTATTATTATTAGCTTATAGTCACTAGTCCTCCAGTCTGATGATGACTTCATTCCCTAAGCCTTCTTTCTACTGTACTCCTGTGGAGTTCAAACAATGTTTATAGGGCAATATAGGAACTTACTGGTAAATGTTTAACCACTGACTGTCTGGGGCGGGGGTGAAGTATGCACACACTTTTAAAGTTTAATCTGTGTTAATAATTTCTTAAGTTTCAAACAGAGCTTGGCAAACGTCAGCCTGAGCTAAATTCAGCCCTCTCCCTATTTTTGCATTACCCAAGAGGGGTTCAAATCCAGCTTCAGACACTTTCTAGTTGTGTGTTGCTGGACAGTCACCCAACCTCTGTCTTCCTGTTTCCTAATCTCTAAAATGGGGAGAGTAATAGCACCTATCTCCCAGGGTTGTCGTGAAGATAAGATGAAACGAACGATAAAGCATATTATAAATACTGGCCATCATCATCATCATTATCATCATTGTTATGGGCTTGTACCAGAACAAGACTGAGAACTCAGACAAACCTAGGGGTGGCTGCAGATCACAATAGATTCTTTGGGGTCTACCTCAGTCTTCAGTTATCAGAAAAGTAACTGCTTTCCTGAGATTAGAGATTTGTTTTGAAGTAAATAAGCACCAACCATTGGTTGTTTTTAATGCCTCGACTGGGCACTTTGCCTCTTCTTGGACTCGCTCCTCAATGCTCCTCTTCCCCATCCCAAAATTCTTCAGGGTCATGAGAGAGAAGTATCGCATTTGCTTCCATGTCTCTCCACTGCTGAAGAATCAGAGAAGTAAGAAGAATCCCCTACTCCAACAGACTGGAAAGTCTCAGAAAATGTTCTTGTCTCCTGTTTTGCAGAATCCGTGCCTAAGGACCCTTGACCTGGTTCTACTAGAGTAGTCTGAAGTGTGGGAATTGTCAAACATCACATAAAAGGTAATCGCTCCCTATTTTTAGCACTAGCAACCTGGACAAGGAAGCCTGCTCTCAGTCGTAGCCAGATGACTCATTTTTAAGCCCATTTCTAAAAGCAAGAGGCTAGGGAACAATATAGACATCCTTGCTGCGTATTAGTCTTATCCACTTTAACCACATTTCTCCGTGCTTAGCTTTCAAGGGCTCAGTATTTTGGCTGATACTTAACATTGCTGGCTAAAACAATAATAATAATAGTAAGTATCTGGGGGGCAGTTAGGTGGCATAGTGGCCCTGGAGTTAGGAAGACCTGAGTTTAAATTCAGCCTCAGACACTAACTGTGTGACCCTGGGCAAGTCACTTCAATCTGCTTGTCTCAGTTTCCTCATCTGTAAAAAGCACTGCAGAAGGAAATGGCAAACCACTCCAGTATCTCTGTCAAGAAGACTCCAAATGAGGTTACAAAGAGTCAGACACAACTGAAAAGCAACTGAACAATAGTTAGCAATCATCACCGTAGTGTTTGCAAAGCACTTTGCCTATATTATCTCACTTGATAGTCACAACAACCTTTTGAGGTTGAGGTACTATTACAATCTCCATTTTTTTTACTATTACTATATCTCATTATTACTATTACAATTACAATTACAATCTCCATTTTACATTTTGAGAAACTGAGTCTGAGGTTTAGTGACTTGCCCAAGGTCATGCAGCTAAGAGGCATCTGAATCAGAGTTTAAACCCATTCTTTCCTAACTTCAAGCTTTCTACTCTCTGTGCCACCTAGTTGCTTAGATGAGATAATTTTTATTCCTTTCTTCTTAGTACCAGGCAGAGAACCCCTCACTCAGCTTAATTTCATTTCTCTCATGATGAGTTTTTTTAATTATCTATTGACCACCCTTACCTGTTGTCATTAATATTTTTAAAATATAACTATATATGCCTGGAGAGAGAGACTTGTCATAGGATGAGACAGGTTCTATATAGTGGAGGAAGGACAGGAGGCTTGTCTCATTTATAGTATGTCCCAGCACTCTCCAGCAAAGACAGGTTGGTTTGTGAGATCTTAGGGAGGGTGATTTCATTAAGAGTTAGCATAGGTATCTTGAGAAAAAGTTTTTTTGAGACTACCCTCATTTTTTCATATACTTTCCAAACAAGATACTGGGAATATTGACCTATTTTCCCTAAATTTCAGCCAGACATATGGCAACATTTCTCTTATACGTATCAATAAGTTGGAGAAGACACAGTCCAAAAGGTAAATTCTGGTCAAGCCAAGGAAGTATAGGGTTGGAGCAGGCAGAGGTTTAAAGTGGGGAGAACAATGGCAAAGCCTAGGCAAGGGGTGATAAGAGTCTGAACTGAGGAGATCATGTTGTAAGTAAAGAGGAGGGAACACAAATTCCCTTAAGATATATAGCTACAATCCTAATTCCAGAACCTATGATTTTATGTCCCTGATTTAGGGGATTTGGGTAAGTGGATCTATTTCTACTAATTTCTTGGAATGGCAACCTTTCCTCCATTCTCTGCTTCATCCAAATTCATAGCTCTACACCAAGCAGAAACTTACTCAACCCATTGTTAATAGCATCAATGATGGGGAAACTTCCTCTGCCAGCAAACTCTCCTCCATGATCAGTCAGCCCTTCTTACATTGCCTTGTATCCATGTAATACAACAATAAGTTCAGAACCCAAATACAGAGTGAACACTGAGCCATAGACTTTCCCCAGATGTGGGAGGATATGCAGAGGGCTTTGAGAGAGTCATCACTGAATTTGCTGACAAAAAGCTTGGATTCCTCATTGGAGAAGTTCTCAATCTATTCTCTGCTTCCTTCAAACCATTTCTATCATTTATAACAGAAAACATCTAAGCAACACATATGCCTGACCCAGGGCACAGAAAGGCCTGAAGTCCAAAATCTTACTTTCTGTTCTGAGATAGCAGCTGCGTAGTCTGGTATTGGGTCTCCAACCTTCCCATGAGAAGGAGCTACTTTTTTTTAATTTTTGTTTTTCTCAAGCTTCGAAAATAACAGAGTGGGGAAGGAGGAACAGTGCCCTCAGTGAAATCCTGGATCAGGGGAAACAGTGCTGGCCACTCCCCTCTCTCCACTGGAAATCCCGCAAACTAATCCAATAGATTTTGAGCTACGAGGAAACTTAGAGAACATATAAAGCTGTCATCTCATTTTATAGGTGAAGAAACAAAGAGGTTATGTCATGGAAGGGTACCAGTGGTACAAGAGTAACAATTTACAGATTTAAAAGTCACAATGAATATACACATTCCTGTAAAGCTTTAGGGTTAGGAAGCATTTCCACTTTTGTGAATTTTATCCGATCTTCACTTACATCACTGTGAGTAGGTAGTACATTCATTAATCATTTTCTTTTACAGAGGAGAAAACTGAAGCCCCAAAAGAAGGGTATGACTGGAGAAGGTATGAGAAGTACAACAATTTGGAGATCTACCAGAACATAATGAAAAACACATTTTAGTTTTGTCTTAAATTCGTGGTTACAAAGCACAGTCACACATTAACTTCGTTTAATCTTCTCACACCACCCTTTCTTAATGATTTTATTAATGAGCTTTATTAATGATTTTCTCTTACAGACATGTAAACAGAGACTTTGAGAAGCAGGTCAAGTGTCCATGGTCACAAAGCCAGTTATGTGGCAGGGTCTAGACTTGAATCCAGGACTTTTTAATTCCATGGCCAATGCTATTTCTACCATATCAAGTTGTCTCTAAAAATCTTTGTGATCTACAGGTCTAGATGCTGATCTGTGTATTTATGGGAGTTCAGAACTTGCTGAGTCCTCCTGTGGCCAAGCTTACTTCCATCCAGGCACACTTAGGATTACACATAAGGACCGGGGCTGCACACACAGGCTGTGCCCTGTGCTCCTATAGAGACTTGTGCAGGGAAAACATTCTGATTCAACAGAGGCTGGAAACCCATGAATGTTTGTAAAATATTTCATTCCATAACACTTTGATTGGAAGGCTCCAGGGAAGCTAGTGGTCTACAGACCTCTGACTGGGGCACTCTAGGTGCTGGAAATTGGTAGAGGATGTTCAAGTGAGGAGGAGAATGGAGGATGTAATGCTCTAACCTAGGATGATACATAGGGATCCTGAAACCTGCCAGGACTCTATGTATAGACATATTGGGGAGGTGGAAATTAGTGACAGGAAATCAGGAATTTAAGATCAAGACTCAACAGGAGCTGACCACCACATCTAAGACTATGAGAATGGGAAGAGGCTGGCCATAGCACAAAGTTACAAACTGGGAACTGAGCTGGCAAATAGGAGTAAACAAAAGAAAACAAACAAGATGGAGAAATGTTATATCACAGGAAATGCCCAAGAGGCAAACCCAGAAATAACATAACAACTAAAAGAGAGTCTCAAAAAAAAAAGTGGCTTGACATTAAAGATGACAAAAGTAGCTAGATGAAATGAAAGGAGAGATAAAAATAAACAATTAAGTCTTATGGAGGAAAAAATGGAAGCAAAATAGCTTAGAAAATAAGATATAAACTTCTGGTGTCAAAATGGCAGAGCGAGGCAGGAACCTTCTGAAGTGCTTTTGAATTCCCCTTTAAACAACTAGAAAACTGCCTAAGAATGTTTTTAAAATTATTTTATGTCATTCTTAAGCAACTACAATTACTTACTAGTGGGATATGTGTGCTTGTTTGGATGCTGTAGAACTTCTCAGACCTTGGAATCAAATTAGACACAGCCACCCTCATTTCCTGTTCCACATTGATTTTCTGGAAGCGCTTGCCTTTTTACCACAGAAACCACCACCACCACCAAAACACAACTTTGCAAAGATATGAGGTCACAAACGAGAAAGTTCAAAGAATTACTGGTATGGCCAAAAGCACAAGTACACAAAAATATCTCAAACATTAGAAAATTTCTTGAAAAAGAATGTAGCTTGACCTAATGTTAAAACCGAATAACATCAATGCTTGCATAACGTTCTACAGATATTGAGTAGCATTGTATTTCCCTCAAAAATATAAAAATATCTTAAGACTTCACAGTTTGGCAACTGTAGCTCTATGTTATACTTCACAGAAAGTCATAGGGAACCCACGTTCTTCCTGAGGTGTGTGGTTTTTGTTTTTTGTTTTTTGCTTTCCAAAGTATTTTTTAATATAAATTTATTTATTTTTAGTTTTCAACATTTACTTCCACAAGATTTTGAGTTCCAAATTTTCACCCCATCTTGCCCCTCCCCTCACCCCAAGATGGCATGCATTTGAATACCCCTTCCCCTAGTCTGCCTCTCTTCTATCTCCCCCCCTTGTCTTATCCCCTTCCCCTTCTATTTTCCTGTAGGGCAGGATAGACTTCTGTACCCCATTTCCTGTATTTCTTATTTCCCAGTTGCATGTGAAAACTTTTTTTAAAATCATGTGTTTTTAAAACTTTGGGTTCCAAATTTTCTCCTTCCTTCCCTTCCCATCCACCCTCATTGAAAAGGCAGCAACTCAATATAGGTTATACATGTGCAGTTATGCAAAACACTTCCATAGTAGACATGTCGTGAAAAACTAACTCTATTTCCCTTAATCATATCCTGCCCCGCCATTCATTCTATTCATTCTTTTGACCCTGTCCCTCCTCAGAAGTATTTGGCTTCTGATCACCCTCTTTCCCATTCTGCCCTCCTCTCTATCACCCCCTGCTCTCTTGTCCCCTTCTCCCCCTATTTTCCTGTAGGGTAAGACAGATTTCCATACCCAATTGAATGTGTATGTTATTCTCTCCTTAAGCCAAATCCTATGAGAATAAGATTCCTCATTCCCTCTCACCTTCCCCTTTCCCCTCCACTGTAAGCTTTTCTTTTCTGTTTTTTTGTGAGATAATTTACCCCGTTCTACCTCTCCCTTTCTTCTTCTCCTAGTATAATCTTCTCTCATCCCTTAATTTTATTCTCCAGATATGACCCCTTAATCTTCAACTCACCCTGTGCCCTCTACTTACCTATCTATCTATCTATATACATACATATAATTTTCCCCCTCTACCCTAATATTGACAAAGGTCTCATGAGTTATAAATATCATCTTTCCATGCAGGAATGTGAACAGTTCAACCTTAATAAGTCTCTTATGATTTTTCTTTCCTGTTTCTCTTTTCATGTTCCACTTGAGTCTTGTGTTTCAAAGTCAAATTTTCTATTCACCTCTGGTCTTTTCATCAAGAAAAGAATGCTTGAAAGTCCTCTATTTCACTGAATGACCATTTTTTTCCCCTGAAGGATTATATTCAGTTTTGCTGGGTAGGTGATTCTTGGTTGTAATCCTATCTCCTTTGCCCTCTGCAATATTATATTCCATGCCCTGCAGTCCTTTAATGTAGAATTCATCTAGGAGCAGGGAAGCAACTTACCAGTCTAGCAGGAAAGGTCTGTCTCTCTGGGGCGGGACAGAAGTCAGGTGCAAAAGCAGCAGCAGCTAGCCTCACAGCAGAGGGGTTGCAGCAAGGCTCCAAGCCTGGGGAAATCCACCAGTGAGGCTCCTCTCTCTTGCAAACCGGGAGACCCTAAGCAAGTGAACAGCACAGCAAGGCCCCACCCCAGTGATCTCACCCCCATCACAAGCCACCAGTGGAGTCCTTGACCCCATTGCTGACCAGTAGTGAAGTCCCACCCCTTGGGCTTATCAGCAGAGAGGTCCTGCTTCCATAGCAACCCGGTAGCAAAGCCCCACCCCTGGAGCATGCCAGTAGCTCAACCCCATACCCAGGGAAGGCCAACAGGGAGACCCCTTCCCCCCGTACAAGCTGAAAGGGAAGCCTACCCTCCAAAGAAAGCAGGCAGATAAGCCCTGAAGCCTAGTGAAAACCAGCAGTAAGACCCAGAGCATAAGCACAAAAAGCTTGGGACATTACAGGACCAGAGCCCAAATCTCATATGAAAACACCAAGTCACAAAAAAAGAGCAGAAAAAATGAGAAAAAAAAAAGGAGCTTGACTGTAGAAAGTTATTATAGTGATAGGGAGGATCAAAGCACAAACTTAGAAGAGGACAATAGTGTCAAAATGGCTACATGTGAAGCCTCAAAGAAAAATGCAATTTAGTCTCAGGTCCAAAAAGAATTCCTGGAAAACGTAAAAAGGATTTTAAAAAGCAAATTAGAGAAGCAGAAGAAAAAATTTGAAAAGAAATGAGAGTAATACAAGAATTACAAAAAAGGAGTCAATAACATGGGAAAAGATATGCAAAACTTTACCAAGGAAGCAACTTCCTAAAAAATGAAACTGGCCAAATGGAAAAGAAAATACAAAAGCTCACAAAAGAAAATATTTCCTTAAAAATTAGAACTAAGCAAGTAGAAACTAATGACTATATGAAACATCAAGACATAATAAAACAAAATCAAAAGAGAAAGGGGCAGCTAGGTGGCACAGTGGATAGAGCACCAGCCCTGAAGTCAGGAGGACCTGAGTTCAAATCTGGCCTCAGACCAAACACTTAATATTTACTAGCTGTGTGACCCTGGGCAAGTCACTTAACCTCGATTGCCTAAAAATAAATAAATATTTTTTAAAAATGAAAAGAGAAAAAAAAATAGAAGAAAATGTAAAATTTCTTGTTGGAAAAACAACTGGCCTAAAAAATAAATTGAGGAGGGATAATATAGGAATTATTGGACCACCTGAAAACTGTAATAAAAAAACTTGGACAATATCTTTCAAGAAATTATCAAAGAAAACTGCCCTGATATATTAGAACCAGAGGGCAACATAGAAATTTAAAGAATCTGCTGACCACCACCTGGAAGAGATCCCAACATGAAAACTCCTAGGAACATCATAGCCAAATTCCAGAGCTCACACATTAAAGAGAAAGTACTGCAAGCAACCAAGAAGAAATAATTCAAATGTCATGGAGTTACAATCAGGATTACATAGGATTTGACAGCTTCCACATTAAAGAACCAGAGGGGTTGGTATATGATATACCAGAAAACAAGGAATTAGGATTACAAGAATCACCTACCCACCAAAACTGGATATAATATTTCAGGGGAAAAATAAACACTTAATGAAATAGAGGACTTTCAAGCATCTCTAATTAAAAGACTAGAGCTGAAAAAAAAAATTTGACCTCCAAATACAAGATTCAAGAGAAACATAAAAAAGTAAACAAGAAAGAGAAAACATAAGAAATTCAATAAGGTTAAACTGTTTATATTTCTATATAGAAAGATAATATTGGTAACTCTTAACAACTTGATTACTATAAGAGCAATTACAAGGAGTATATGTAGACACAAGGTGGGAATATGAAGTGAGTTTGACAGAATGATAACCCCCGAAAACAAAATAAAGGGGTGAAAAAGAAAATTGCACTGTAAGAAGAAGGATGGTAGAGATTGAATAGAGTAAATTATCCCACATAGAGGAGGCATGAAAGAGCTATTGTAATACAGGGGAAGATTTGGGGGAGGGGGTTGATGTTGGCAGGCAAAGTTTAAACCTTATTCTCATCAAAATTGGCTTAAAGCAGGAACAACATACACACTCAGTTGGATATAGAAATCTATCTCACCCTGTAAAGAGGTTAAAAGAGATGGGGACAATAGGAGAGGGTGAGGGTACTAATAAAATGGAGGATATGTGGGGAAAGGTGGTGATCAGAAGTAAAACACTTGTGAGGAGGGAAAAGTTGGGGTGTCAGAGAGAGATAAGCAAGTGA